TATCTATATATATATATATATATATATATATATATATATATATATATATATATATATATATATATATATATATATATATATATATATATATATATATAGATAGATAGATAGATAGATAGATAGATAGATAGATAGATAGATAGATATACATATCGCACTGCTACTCGTGTGATATTGCTCGTGTATATATATATATATATATATATATATATATATATATATATATATATATATATTATCAATGTCGATTTTATTTATATAGCACTATTATACACAACCAAAGGTTGACCAATGTGCTGAACAATACAAATCACAAAGAACAAGTATAACATTATAGCTAAAACAAAGAATTCTTACTGATAAAATGCCAAATCAAAAAGGTAAGTTTTCAACCTAGATTTAAAAACAGACAGAGATGATAGACCTAATACAGAGGCAGAGCATTTCCACAAGGTAGGACAAGCTACTGCGAAAGCCCAGTCACCTCTGCATTTCAGCCTCGACAATATTTTACAACACTACACAGAAAATATTAATACGTGTAATACATCTAAATAATAATACATCTGTGTTGTTTCTGATTAATGACTGATTTAGAACTGTAACGATAAAAAAACTGCTTTTTTATTGATTTACCTGCATGTCAAGGGTTTTTTAATAATTGTAATAATTATTATTGTTATATTATTATTATTATTATTAAGTGTTAAGAGAACCGAATCGGAACAAATGTGTTAATTATTAATATATTACCTTTAGGATGTACTTTAAGAAAATATTTTTTTTTTATATCAAAAGGTGTTTTACTTAATAAAGATCCTGTAAATCACCGATATAGAAAAAGATTATTGCTGCTCTCTAATGCACAATTGTTTTACATGTTTTCTTTTTTTGATGACATTAAAATTACCCAAGTATATTAGTATATATAGCTAGACTAAACCAAAAATAATTAATCTTCTGATTAGAAGACTGAAATAATGAAAAATAAATGAATAAATCTACTAAGCAAAAAGTATATGGAAAATCTGAAAATGAATTTGTGGTCATCATTATCAGGACTGATGCTGGCTGAAATCTTTCTGTTAAAGTAACAAAACTATTTATTAAACTAGATCAAATGTATTTTTAGTTACGTTTGATTTACATTATTACATTATTTACATATACAACGTTATTAGATTTATGCACAGGGGTCAACATACTGCTATAATAATAATATTAATAATAATAATAATAATAATAATAATAATAATAATAAACTTATAAAGATAATATAAACTGTGCAGCAGTAAAAGAGACATATATGGATGAATGCAAAAAAATGCAATAATAAAAGTATGAAAACAAAATAATAATCATAATCATAAATCTAATTATCAAATAAAAGCTACCCTAAAAAGGTAGGTTTTAAGTGATGATTTAAAAATACTCAGGGATTCTGCATTGCGAATATCAGAGAGTAAAGAGTTTAGGTGCCAGTGAAGAGAATGCCCGATCTCTACTGCTGCTTTAATGCTGCTATCATTACACTGAAAATTTACTGAAGCTTATTATTATTAAAACTGCAGCTTGGCAAGCTAAAAATAAGTGCAACTTCCCTCTTGAAAAAGTAGCTATGTGCACTAATGAAACCATTTCATTTCACTGCAGCTATTAACGGGGCAGTGCCTGCGTAATTACGGTGAATAAAGAAACACTTTCTCATTACTTTTTATTGCTGGTCTTTTAAAATACAGATGGGTCAGTGCTTCACACAATAGATGATTAAATAGATAAAAACCTCCTCTGTTTTATATATATATATATATATATATATATATATATATATATATATATATATATATATACACACACATGCATACTTTTTTTAATCTTTTAAGGAAATAATGCATACTGTCAGCTTTATTATATAGGTTGCTCAAGGTCTAAAAAAAACCTACATAAAAACCGTATTTAATGATAATTATGCATGAGAGAGCAGGGGTAATCATCTTCTAAAGCATTGATTTACACACTCTTTATTCAGTCAGAAAACACTTTACAATAAGGTTGCATTAGTTAATGGTAGTTAATGCATTTACTAACAGGAAAAATCCATGAACGACACATTTATTCCTGTATTTGTTCATGTTTGTTAACACTAGTTAATGGCAATAAAGTCATTAATTTTTACTTCATGTTAATTCACAGTGCTTTAACTAATTTTAACAAGAGTGAGTTTGGATTTGAATAATGCATTGGTAAATGTCGAGCTATGATTAATAAATTCTGTACATTAATTCTTCATTATTAGTTTCTATTAATAAATACAATAACAAATAAAACTTTATTGTAAAGTTTGACCCAAATAGTTTCTTAAAGTACTTTCTTAAATTGATATTTTAATAATTTAACAACACATTTCTGTGCACAGTTTTTTGATGTTTATGCTCAGTTGGCATGCAGGCAAACACAACATGTTGAAACACATCGGCAACATTTTACAGTATAGGTGTATTACACTGTTAGAATTTTACAGTTATTTACTGCAAAAACGGCCAGTTTTATATTTATATATATATATACATATATATGTATGTGTGTGTATATATATATATATATATATATATATATATATATATATATATATATATATATATATATATATATATATATATATATATATATATATATAT